TTTTAAATACTTGTGACGCATTCATCAAACAGTATCAGCAAGAAGCTTTTGACAAAAGGAAAGCGTTTGCCCGAAAAAAAAACGGCAGGTAGTTGAACCAACAACCCAAAAAAACGGCAGATAGTTGAACCAACAACCCAAAAAAACGGCAGGTAGTTGAACCAACAACCGTTGAAACAACTTGTCACATGGTCCCGGGAAATTTGCACGTCGTTAAAACATTGGACTCGTCGAGTGTCTGAAAAGCCGTCTTTTATCCGACTTCTCCGGGGATTCCCAATCCTTTTCTTATCTTTATAAAATAGAATTGTCAACAGAGAGAGAGAGAGAGATTTCTCTTTAGATCCAATCATGGAGACAACAACCTCTCCTCTGCTACCCAATGATCGTGGCCGATGCGGGTGGCTCCGCCGTCGTCTCCGCCTCAAAAACCCTCTTTCTTCTGAACTCTCCGGCGCTGTCGGTGATCTGGGCACTTTCATCCCCATCGTTCTTACACTAACTCTAGTCTCCAATCTTGATCTGTCCACCACTCTCATCTTCACGGGTTTCTACAACATCGCCACGGGTCTCCTCTTTGACATCCCTATGCCCGTCCAGCCCATGAAATCTATCGCCGCCGTCGCTGTCTCCGAATCCCCACACCTAACTCCTTCTCAGATTGCCGCCGCTGGAGCATCCACTGCCGCCACGCTCCTTCTCCTTGGCGCCACCGGAGCCATGTCTTTCCTCTACAACCTCATACCTCTCCCAGTCGTACGCGGCGTCCAGCTTTCTCAGGGTCTTCAGTTCGCCTTCACCGCCATCAAATACGTCAGGTTTAATTACGACACTGCCACTCTCAAACCCTCTTCTTCTCCTCGTACTTGGCTTGGCCTCGACGGCCTTATCTTGGCTCTAGCTGCTCTGCTCTTCATCATTTTGTCCACGGGCTCTGGCAACGACAGAGACGCCGCCGAAGATGAAGATGAAGATTTTGCCGAGACTTCCAGCAACCAAAGCCAGTCTCGCCGGAGGAGACGACTGCGTCTTCTGTCTTCGATTCCATCTGCTCTAGTCGTGTTCGTAATTGGGATGGTGCTCTGTTTCATACGCGATCCGTCCATTTTCAAAGACCTTAAATTCGGTCCGTCAAAGTTCCATATTCTGAGAATCACTTGGGATGATTGGAAAATCGGGTTTGTGAGGGCGGCGATTCCTCAGATTCCACTCTCTGTATTGAACTCAGTGATCGCCGTTTGCAAACTATCCAACGACTTGTTCGACAAGGAACTCTCCGCGACTACTGTGTCCATCAGCGTTGGGGTGATGAACTTAATCGGGTGCTGGTTTGGCGCTATGCCTGTCTGTCACGGTGCTGGCGGGTTAGCTGGGCAGTACCGGTTCGGGGCAAGGAGTGGATTGTCGGTTCACTACAAGAAAACATAGCAAATTCCGACAAACCAAATAGTCGGAAATTCGTCGGAAATGGATGTTTCCGACGAATTTCCGACTACACCAAGTTTGTCGGAATTCTCTGGTCGGAAAACAATATTCGTCGGAAATTCGTCGGCAATTTCTGTCGAGATGAGTTGTCGGAAAATTCGTCGGAAATATTTGTTGGAAAATCGTCGGAAATATTCGTCGAAAGCCCGTCGGAAAGGTGTCGGAAATGTCCGTCGGAATAGCGACGGAAAATTGCCGACGATATCCCGACGGCATATTCCGACGCCATTCCGAGGAGATTCCTACAAACGACGCCGCAAGATCGAGTACGATTCCGACGATTTTCCGACCACAAATCGTCGGAAATTCGTCGGAACGTTCCGACGAATTTCCGACGAATGGATGTTTCCGACGAATTTCCGACAAAATATAATATAATAATAGATTTAATAGTTTCCGACGAATTTCCGACAAATCGTATTTTTTATTATTTTCCGATGAATTTCCGACAAAATATTATATTTTATTAAAAAATATATATATTTATATTTTATTGTTAATTAATATAATTAATTAAATTAAATAATATTAATTTAATTTAATTGTAATAATTCAATAAAACAAACACAAATATTATATAAAAACATAATTAAAAAAAATAAAATTCACCACATAATATAAAAAACATAATTAAACATTAATAAGTTCTTAAACAACTAAAAATTATTACAAACGCGAATATTATATATTATCAAATAGAGTGTCAACGTTATTTGTTTCATTTTGATTTCCGGGTTGATCTTGGCGAGAAGGCGGAACGATGTCGGGATGAAGACGGGCCATCATATCCATCCAAAACTTACAATCTTTTAATTGAGTCTTCAACTCGATGATTTCGGCTACGTTTTCTTGACAATTCACGTGTGCATGTGAATATGACGAACTTCCGCCCATGTCTTCGTCAAACGGAATGGAACCGAATCCAAATCTACGTCCTTTTTTAACTTCAACTTGCTATTATAATGAAAATGTTGTTAGGAAATAAAACATATTATCTAAATTATAATATTTTAATTACTATTACTTACCGATCGGAAAATATCGTTTTTTTCTGCTTGGGTGAGTTGATAATCATCAGGCGTGTCCGAATGTTGACTCATTTGTGTGAGTTTCTCTTTCTCCATCTCCCGACATCGACGAGCTATTGCCTCAGCTTTTTTATCAACAAATGTCCCGTCCGATTTCCGTTTGTGAGTCTCCTCCATGAATGTCACCATATCGGGATACTCACCGGTTTCGGGATTACGCTTGCATTTAAAATATTTATTAGTTAAAAATTTACAATAAAATTTATTATAATGCAAATTGAAATGTAAAAAATTTAAATTTTTATTTACCATTTTTTCCTTTTTCCGGACATATGGCATTGATCCACAAGTATGTTTAGCCATGCCATAGCCTCCGCGTTCACTCTTGCGATTTTGAGAATTAGTTTCACTACGGGACTTATTTTGCTCTTGTAACCAATATGCAATAAGCCCTTGCCAAACGTTTTCTCGCATCCATTTTGGCTTTTCTTTCCCGTTAAGCCATTTCTTTTTCCATCCATAAACATAATCCAATAAACGTACCCCACATATCTCCTCAAATTTTTCTTGTACTTCGCCCGTAAGACCATAATCCCAATTAAAGTTTTGCTACAATGTTAAAAAATTTAAAATATATATATTTTTAGTGTTGTCAAATTTTAAAATTTAATTTTTTTAGCTAAAATTATAAACAAAGTAAATAAAGCATAAATTTTATTTAAATAAACTAACCGCAAATGCCTTAAACCAACATTTCTTTGTGTCTCCGGAGACCGACGTAATATTCGGAGCGGGCTCGGAGAAATCGCTCTCCATGATTTTCTTGATAATCTTTGTGAATCCTTTATCGAATCTATACCTATAATTACCAAATTATTTAATTGAGATTATCTACGTAAAACTATAAATTAAATAATACAATTTCTTACCAAGTTGTTCCGTTCATACGGCTTGGGTCGATCTTTTTCAATTTATCTCGACCCGGAGCACGGAGTAATTGGTCTAGCGTCATAGAATCGAGTGGATTTGCATCATCATTCCGTGTAGGCATCGCCAATGGTTCCGTCTCCGGAACTTCCGTGTCCTCCATGGGAAAATCATCCGGTGGTTGGGTTTCGGAACCAAGATTCAAATCCGGAGCAAACCCACGTTCATTACAATACGCCATATATCCACTCCACGATCCATTATCCATCTCCTTAATCAAATAAAAAATTTATAATTAGTCTTTTGAATTTTATAAACAAAATTATGAAGAAAATAAAACTTAACATCTTACCTTAAGATGTGAGAAGTGTGAGAAGATGTGAGATGTAAGATGTGAGAAGTGTGAGAACTTAATCACGTTTGAAGTGAGAAGTGTGAGAAGTGTGAGAAATCTGTGAGCCAATTTCCGACGAAGTTTCCGACGAAATTTTTAAATTTCGTCGAAAAATTCGTCGGAAATTAAATCTTGCGGGAACATTTTCCGACAAATGTTCCGACAAATTTTTAAATTTCGTCGGAAAATTCGTCGGAAATTGGTTACATTAACTTCTCTAACGCCCGGGAAAAGTAAACGGCAATAAATTTAAGACCCAATCTCCGACGGAATTTCCGACGACCATATTTGTCGGAAATTGGACATTAAATCTCCCGAGTCTCGTAAATGTTCCCGCTTCAGTATTTCTGAAAGAAAAGTAAAAAAAATAAATTAATTCAATATAGCCTAATTCCGACGATTTTCCGATGGAGAAAATAATGTCGTCGGAAAATTCGTCGGAACCAGGGTATATTAATTTAAATAATTTTAATTATTTTGTGTCAAGTATTTCTTTAATTAAATATACCCTGTTTTGTATCAAGATATATTTAAGCGGTACAAATTTAATCTCAAACGTTTCATACGACAGTTCCGATGAAAGTATGAATAAAATAAAATATTAGAATGGTTTAATTATTATAAAATAGAAACAGATTTTTTTAACAAATAAATTATAATGCATATAATATGATAAATTTAAAAGCATTTAAACAGATTTTATAAAATATATATATAAAACTAAAGACGATATATTTGATTTACTCAGAATCGGAAGAATAATCTGAACTAGCAGAATCATTTTGATCTTCAAACTCTTCTCCATCCTCTTCGTCTTCCGCATTTTCCCATATCTGTTCGAGTTCTATGTTCTCAATATCAACGAGGGGAATGTCACCGACAGATTGATCTACTTGCGTAATTTCGTTTACTGCAATTTGTTGTAGCGGTTCCTTTTCTTTCACCCCATCAACTCTGCTTCTTGGATTTATTTGATGAGCCGTAATCCATGGATATTGTCGAACACCTACTTGTGGATATGGTATGTAGCAAACCTGTGCTGCCTGAGATGCAAGTATAAACGGATCGTACTTTCTTAACTGCTTAGTCGAGTTGATCTCTGTGACACCATACTTTGTAAGTCTAACACCTCTTCCAACTCTAGGATCATACCAGTCACACTTGAAGAGTATGAATTTTGTTTCTTACTTCTCGAATGGTATGACATCGTCACAATTCCGGAGGATGTAAGTATGAATGTGATTAAATTCTTGATCTGTAAACCATACTTCTTTTTTCTTCCCACTCAGTCTCCCGATTTGAGAAAAGATATCTGGGACAGATGTATGGTAAAAAGGCCGCACACCCCCATCATCGTACCTACCTGGTTTTCTTGCTTTTGTTTGGACATTTGGAGCAAAATAGTAGGCCGAAAAATGAGAAGTCTCCTCGTTTATGCTTTGAGCTACTATTGATCCCTCAACTTTGCTAAGATTTTTAACTTTTTTCTTCAAATGGAACATAAAACGCTCAAAAGGATACATCCACCGGTACTGAACTGGACCGCCTAGTGCTGCTTCACGAGGTAGATGGATAGGCAAGTGCTCCATGACATCAAAGAATGATGGGGGAAATAATTTCTCCAAATTGCAAATGATAATCGGGATATTATCTTCAAGTGTATGTAGTCCTTCGACTGTTAGAGATCTTGAACACAAATCTCTAAAAAATGCACCTATCCCTGCAATTTAATTAATAACTGTAAACAAAAAAAGAATATATACATAAAAAATAACATATTAAAATAATTGAAAGATAAGTTGTTTGTACCTGCAATTGCTTCATGGACAACATTTGGTAGGAGTTGTGTAAACGCAAATGGTAGTAAACGCTGCATGAAGACGTGACAGTCATGACTTTTCATCCCAGCTAATCTACCACTGTGATCATCAACACAATATGATAGATTTGATGCATAGCCATCAGGAAATTTAACATCATCAATTATCCACTGAAAAAACTTGGTCTTCTTGCTTGCATCTAATCTCCATATAGGAATAGGACCTACTCCGTCTGCAAGCAAATGGAGATCCTCGCGCGCACATATATCGGGTAAATCCATTCTGGATTTGATATTATCTTTAGTCTTACCCGCGACATTTAAAATGGTGTTAATTATATTGTCAAAGAAATTCTTCTCAATATGCATAACGTCAAGACAGTGGCGGAGTAGATGATTTGTCCAGTACGGTAACTCCCAGAAGATACTTTTTTTATGCCAATTATGATGTTCTCCATATCCATCAATTCGGACATGGCCATTACCGCCTACCGATGATGTACAGTCAACATCAAAATCACGAAATTAATTCAATATATAATCACCATCATACTCAGGTGGCGGTGGATCACGGATACTCTTGTTCTTGCGGAACAACGTCTTACTACGACGATATGGATGATTTCGTCTTAGAAAACGACGATGACAATCAAACCAACTTGATTTCCGGCCATGTCTTAGTTGGAAGGCATCTGTATTATCTTGACAATATGGACACGACAGTCTTCCATGAGTTGTCTAACCCGATAACATGCCATATGCGGGAAAGTCACTAATAGTCCACATCAATACAGCACGCATGTTAAAATTTGTCTTTGTGGAGACATCATATACCCAAACCCCTTGGTACCATAACATTTTTAACTCTTCTATAAGCGGCTGTAGGAACACATCAAGTGAACGACGAGGGTGGTTTGGACCAGGAATCAAAATGGTTAAGAAAAGAAATTCTCTTTTCATGCAAAGGGAAGGTGGGAGATTGTAAGGGGTGACTATTACTGGCCACAAAGAATATTTTCTACCTGACTTTCCAAATGGATTGAATCCATCCGTGCATAAACCAAGATAGACATTCCTTGGTTCATTAGCAAAGACTGGATATGTAGAACAAAAATGTTTCCAGGCCGATGCATCCGATGGATGTGAAATCTCCCCGGTGAATTCATGTTCAGCGTGCCATCGCATACCCTCCGCTGTCCGATCTGACCGATACAACCTCTTCAACCTATCAGCCAAGGGCAAATACCACATACGCTTATATGGTATTTTGTTTCGCCCACTAGTAACCTGAAACCTTTCAGCACCACAGAAACGACATTGAGACATATTTACATTATCTCCCCAAAAAATCATACAATTTTCTCTACACACGTCAATCATTTGGAATGGTAAACCTAGCCCAGATACCAATTTTTGGATTGCGTTGTATGAAACTGGCGATAAATTATCTTCCGGTAGATAATCGTGGATAAAATCAGCCCACGCATCAACGCAATCTTCACTTAAATTGTAGTCTGTTTTGATGTTCATCATACGTGTTGCGGCGGATAAAGGAGAATGACCCTCTCTGCATCCTGCATATATCGGATGATTTGCAGCATCTAACATATCGAAAAATCCCTGTGTTTCTAAGTTGGGTTCCTCCGCAACATTAGTATTTTCTACGTTATCATGAAATTCACCACTACCAATTACATTATCTTCTTCCTGGTGAATATGCTAATCGCTAATTATAACGTTTTCATCTCTTCTTTCACGACTACTACTAGGACCCGATCTAAAATCCTCCCCGTGAGAAAACCATATATAATATCCTGGTGTAAAACCTCCCCAATATAAATGATTCCAAACAATGTCTTTTGCAAGAAAATGATCATTACAACATTTGACACAAGGACATGCCATAATACCTTCGATACGCGTCATTTCTTGATTAGATGCAAACTGCATGAATTCCATTAAACCTTCCTTGTACTCCTGCCTCATAGCTCCGGTCTCATCATCTAATCGATTATACATCCACTCTCTAATTTTATAAATATTATGAGAAGACATTTTTTTTTCCAAGATTTTCTTGTGTTTCTGTTTTTTTTTTTCAATTTTTTTCTTGTGTCTATGATTCTTTCGTTGTCTAGTATATATATAAAACTTTTCCGACTAACATTTTGTCGGAAATTCGTCGGAAATTCTAAAGTGGTTACCTTTAATATTTCCGACGAACTTCCGACAAAATGTCGTCGGAAAGGTTTGTCGGAAATTCGTCGGAAAATCTAAAGTGGTTACCTTTAAAATTTCCGACGAATTTCCGACAAAAATGTCGTCGGAAAATTGTCGATTACGTCGGAACATGTAAACTGGTTACTTTAAATATTTCCGACGAATTTCCGACAGATCTTCCCGACGACATTTTGTCGCAGTTTCCGATGACATTGGATTGTCAGAATTTTCCATGTTCCGACAACTTTTCCGACTAATTTTTTCGATCAAGTTGTCGGGATTACGTCGGAACATGTGCAGTGAATAATCACGTGTTTACCTCGTTGTTTCCGACAAATTTTCCGACAAGTTTCCGAGCAGTTTCCGATGACATTGGATTGTCGGAATTTTCCATGGTTTCCGACAAATATTTCCGACGAATTTTTAATCGTCGGAAAAGTTTTTATGTTTCCAACAAATTTCCGACGAAATATTATTTTCTTGGAAGTTTGTCGGAAATTCCCCGGAAATCCGTCGGAATAATTCCGACTAAATATTTCGTCGGAAATGTTCGTCGGAAATTGCTATGTTTTCTTGTAGTGGTTATCTTTCTCGGGATCGGGAAACTCATTGTGGGTTTGGTGTTTGGAAACTCTTTTGTAAGGATTCTGAGCCAGTTTCCGATTGGAATTGTTGGGGTCGGATTCCATCCTTTGGCACCGAGCCAGACTTAGAACACCTCGGGAGTTTTACAGAGATCACCTCGGGATATCGCATCATCCACCCCGGGTTATCCACCCAATCGCCTCGGAGTGCCCGAGCCCATCGCCTCGCGGGTACCCGGACACGACATTGGGGATACCCGAGCCCAATCGCCTCGGAGTGCCCGAACCCATCGCCTCGGGGGTACCCGGACACGACATTAGGGATACCCGAGCCCAATCGCCTCGGAGTGCCCGAGCCCATCGCCTCGGGGTACTCGAACAAGACAGCTCGGGGTACCCGAGCTAGTCTCTCCTATATACCCGAGCCGATTGCACAAGTTCTCCGAGGCGAAGTTTTCACCATCACCCGAGGCAAAGACTTGGTAAATATTCATCTTCAAAGTATCATTTCCAAGCAAAGCGTCATTTCCGATAGACCCGGAAATGATAGGGGAGAATCTCGAAAGATCAACTCAAATCAGGAAACCTTCCGAAAACCCCCAAAAAATAAGGAAACTATCCTAATCCGCGATATTCTGAGCCGACTCCAAGATAAATGGAAATCTTCCGAGAATATCGCTGGAGAGGCGGTTTATCACCCCTATATAAAGAGATTCAAGGCTCTCGCAGAAGGCAAGCAATATCGCTCTAGAATTTACACTACGCAAAGCTTTCACAGCACAAACACCTTTTTCTTTTACGATCAAACTCTTGTACGATCAAAGTCATCTTTTTCTTAATAATATCAAGAACACCATCTTTGGTATCAATTGATTCTGTCGTTCTTTGAGAATTCTCGCAAATCGTATCCCTAAATTGAAACCCTAGACAAATCTTGATTGTGTTAGTTTCGACTTCCACAGTTTGGCGCCGTCTGTGGGGATACTTTAGAATTCTCTTACCCTAAGACGCAGAACTCGATTACCGAAAAGGACGATGAACGAAGACGGTCGTCAGACACCACCAGCTGGAGGAGGGACCCCGAACCCTCCGAACCCTCAGAATCCTCAAGCCGATCCGACGATCATAGCGACTCTAGCCGAACTGAAAGACCTGATGGTTAAATTCCAGAAGAAAGCTGACGACCAAGAGAAAGCTAACAAAACCTTGGCGCAGCGAGTCGACAAAATCGCAACACGTGGGCAACAAAAAACCACGCGTTTCCAGACTCGGCCGCCACGAGCTCGGAGGGACTTGCCTGGCATCAACCCAACAAGACTCACGTTTGCGACACCAACCGACAACACCAGAGTCGCAACCCGAGCCGACCCTGCCAGACGCGAGAACCAAGATGATCCCACCGAGCCAGACGCAGTGGACGTGACGGACGAGCCAGATGATTTACAAGACGAGCGCACCCGAGCCGGAGCTAACTCCGCCGTGCGAACGGACCTTACTGATGACGAAGAAACTGAGGAAAACATAAGGTGGGCCGAAGAATCCGAAAGAGAAGACGAGCTAAGCAAGATCCGAGCCTCCCTAGCCAAGGCGGAAGCTGATATGAAGCTCGTCAAAACCCAGATATATAGCGTTTCATCCTCCGCACCGAACATCGACCGAATTTTGGAAGAATCTCGGAATATGCCTTTCACCAAAAGAATTTCCGAAACGACGATGTCCAATCTGGGAAAGTTCAAAATCGACTCTTACAACGGATCAACCGACCCGAAGTGCCACATTAAATCGTTCGTGATATCTGTGGCCCGAGCCAGGTTCAAGCCCGGGGAAAAGGATGCAGGTCTATGCTTACTGTTCGTGGAACACCTCAAAGGACCCGCATTAGAGTGGTTTTCAAGATTGGAATGAAACTCGATTGACAGTTTCGACGAGCTGTCGACACTGTTCCTCAAGCAATACTCCGTGCTCATCGACTCCGGAACCTCCGACACGGATCTGTGGTCCCTGTCTCAACAGCCCACCGAGCCGTTAAGAGATTTCCTCACAACCTTCAAATCGACGCTAGCCAAGGTCAAAGGAATTACAGATGTAGCCGCTCTTTCGGCTTTAAAGAAAGCTCTCTGGTACAAGTCAGAATTCAGGAAAGAGTTGAACCTGTCTAAACCGACAACAATTCGCGACGCGCTGCATCGAGCCTCGGATTTCGTCGCCCACGAAGAAGAGATGGCGCTGCTAGCAAAGAGGCATGAGCCAACGAAACAGGCGCCCCGAGCCGAGAAAACCGAGAAAGCCCAAGCGACACCTCCGGTCCAGAAGAAGACACGTGAGAGCGGTACGTATACGCATCACGAAGGGCACAATTTCTCAGGATACCATAACTACCAGATTGACACGCCCCGAGGCCGTGGCCGCGGTAGAGGCCGAGGCCGTGGGCGAGGAAGAGAGTCCTTCACCTGGACAAGGGATCAGCCACCGAGCAATGATCAAGAATATTGCGAACACCACAAAATTTTCGGCCACCATACCTCGAGATGGCGAAGCCTCGGAGCTAAGTTAGCAACCAAATTCCTAGCTGGAGAGCTCGGGACGAATGTCA